TCGGGAAAAAACGGTTGTAGTGTCAAAATGCGCGCAATATAAGCAACTAGGTTTGTGCAAATCCCTTGCACAAAAAAAATATTATTTGTTTCGGTCAGCAGAATATCCCATGTTGTTGGTTGCAGTCTGTAATTCAGGTGCAGTTTGTAAATGTACCTGTCAAATTGTTTTGAAGAAATCAAATTGCTGTGAGCAAACCACATGCGAAAATACAATATATTTTTTGTTCAATGTACAATTAATTACATATATATTACATATACATTATATATATTTTATAATATATATATATATATACAATTATATATATATATACAATTATATATATGTATATAGTTATATATATATATAATTTAATAGTACATATTGTGCGTATTTTTACATAAGTCTTTTGGATATAATTTGTGTTTTGTCTTTTTGGGTGAAACAATTGATGGGATTCAAGATTTCATCCAGATTCTGGAGAAAATCTTTCTCAAAGATCCCCAAATGGCCCGGGAAAACAGCCCAAGACAGAATTATTTGTCCTGGTTCTTGGGGTTCTCTGGGGATCGTTCCCACATCTTGAAGCAGCGTTCCTCAGAATGGCAATGCTCCGTGCAACGGAAAACACACATTGTCACCTCACAGTTTGTCTACACCTGGGCCTTTCTATCCTTTCTTGCGACTGGATCAGCGTTTTCCACGAAGGTCACCCACCTTGGCCTGAGACATCTTCAATCCAGGATTCTCCTGACCATCATGACTGCCATGGTCCTATAAACACAGTCCCCGACCCCGTCACAGCGACTGCCTGTCTGATGCCATCCAGCTCTCGAGCTTCGAACTCCTGAAGAAACAGAACCAAAGGGCTGATCGCCTTCAGATCTCTGGTTGCCACAATTTGATGCCGTAATGATCGTAATATGATTCGGACACACTCAAACTCAATCTACTTAATTAATTCCCGAAGTGTTCGTGCTTTTGCTGTTCCATCAGCCACCCTTCCAGCGTGTGCAAACTCTGAGGATCACACTGCATATGTCCTCAGCAAAACACTTTCAGTTCCCAACCATGCAACTCTGCACTGTCTATTCAGACTCAAGGAATGAATCAATACGAAACATTGAAATAGCATGAAATAGCATTATGAAATTGAGTTCCTACACTCCAATATGACGCAGGTTTTCTCATGCCTAGTTTTGCACTGTGCGACGCTGATCTCGCCATCATCTAACATTTTTTTTCAGCCCAAAAGGACCCAAGTACGGGAGAGTATCATTGGGTGTACCCTCTGGTAATCCAACATAGCTGTGGAAAAAAATGTGTTTGATACGTAAGTCATCCAAAAAAAACATAAATAGGTAGTGTCCATAGCTATGTTAATTTTCCAGAGGGTATCAACTCAGATTGTGTTCATTTGCAAAGACTTCCTGGACCACCAAAAGAATTCAAACTGCATCGTGAGTTACAAACGTTTCATGCCACGGACCAGCCGAGATGAGCCAAGCGTCATCTTCACCTGCTTCTTCTCCCCCACATCCAGGGCACTCAGTGCTGCATCAATGCCGCTGGCCTCGTTGCTCAGTGTGTGTTCCATTCTTGTCATATCTTGTCATCCACGCATGGCTGCCATGGTTGAGGCTTCGGCATCCACCACGTCCTGTGCAACCCATGTGTTCACGCTACTGTTTACGGTGTTTGTGCCTAGGATGTGATGAGATCTTACAACAGTCATCGGCTCCTCCTGGCGGTTGGTGTTTGCTTCCAACTTTGGTTGCGACACAACCTGTCACCAGGATTTGTAGATACGGCTCAAAAGATAAAACACATACAATTTGTCACTTTTGGTATCCTCTGGTAATCAAACATGGCTTGCTGTGCTGGATCCCCATTTTCGATGGATTTTCCCAGCTTTTTTCCCTCCATGGGGGGGATTTCCCAGCCAGCCATGGTTGATGACCCGCCTCAGTCTTTTTGCTCTGCTTCTTGGGATTTGCCTTTGCCACGGCGCCCATCAGCGCCTGTCTTCTGGCAATCTCAGCTTGCGTCACCTGAAGGGCCACAAAAAAGAGCTCCCAAAAAGATTTCAACAAGAAACAGCAGCTGTGGCTTCTCGCCTTCGGGTAGCCGCTGGCTTTCTTGTTGGCTCCCTTCATTTGGGAAGTCGCTTCTTCTTCTTGTCTTTCCAGCTCCTTCTCTGGCCAAGATCAAGGTGGAAAAGGGACACCATTCCAAAGCAGGCTCGTGGAGAGTCAGCTACATGCCCAAATTTTCAGGGTTCCCCGAAGCGTCTTGACACTTGAGTACGGGTCAAATCAAATCCGATGGTTTTTATCTGAATTAAATCCATCTAATAACTGCTATATATTGTGATCCATACGGACTCAGATCTATCCAAATTTTGGGGTTGATAATTTTTAGCCATACGCACTTGGCACTTGCTACTTGCACCTTCAGCTCTGCCTTTGCAGCTAACTTGGCGTCAGCCTAGCAGGATCTGGTGGATTTAGAGCACAGGACAGGAGGCTACTTTTTTGCAGCAACATGTAGCAACATCTCCGGTCCATCTCCCCGAAACCTAGAGGTACCTGGCAATTTCGTTTCCAATTTCAGCACGCCCTCCAGTCTGGATTCCTGAAAAAACCTGCCTTAGCTGCCGCATCAGCAGCTCGTTGTGCTTTTTTCTGAACACCTGTCAAGGCTCAGAAAAGGTCGAAAAACAATGGAAAAACATGGATGGCACCCAATTTCTCAACAGAGCACTGACAACCCCGTGGATGCACACCACTATCATCTGTTATATGGGTATGGATCAATACCTATTAATACCTTTTTAGTGGGATGAACATCCATTTACCAGCTATTTTGATGTTCACCAGGGGTACCAGGGTTTTGACACACTGCCATATCATGTTATATCTATCATTCTGTTTGCATCTGAAAATCCTGCGGAGATGAGCGCCTTTGTCCGTGTCCTGCCAAGAAGCATCTTCAGCTGCAGCTTTTGCTGCCTGGTAGGGCAACCATCCCAAGAAACCCTTCCAACCATTTCTAGGGCTTCTTCACTACTTGGGGGTGTAGTTAGAGTATGTTAGAGTTATCAGTGCTTATTTAACTATAGTAACAACAAAGGGGTCCACCCCAACATTATGGAGGACCTACCATGGGTACCCATTCATAACCAAAACTGCACCATCAAATAAGTAGGATTTCACGCCTCATCTTTGGCTTTCGCTGCTGCTGCCTTCTTATCTTTGGCGCTCGCATCGCCGAAGCCTTAGCAAAAAAAACAGCACCAAGACACCAACCCAAACATGTTGTAGTTGTCTTCTAGCGACCCTTTCATCTCAGGGAACCACCTATCATGGATAATATGGATACAATATATAATATCTATATAATTCTATGTGCATTATGTATATGCACATAGCTTAACTATGTTACATATAATCACTGCGTGTAGTGCCTCCGTCATCAATGTTCCCATGCTGGCAACTCAGCTTTGCACCCATCTCTCCGAGGGAACAAAATCAGGACAGCTGACCGAATCGCACAGCTACTGCCGCTGGCATCCTCGAGCCAAATCTGAGGCCCAAATTGGAGTGCTTGTGATGATTTTGGGATTCAACATGATTCAACTATATTAATGTGCATGAATGTTCATCTCCCCAATTTCGAGGCTGAGCTGGCATCTGTGCCAATCTAACATGATCGGCGCCGGAGTCGTCTAAACCATCCAAAGCTGGTTTGTTTTGATGCTCGAATTGGTGCCCAATTCGAATCCGAAAGGGTCAAGTCGTGACAGTCGCAGCTGACTTGAAGTGTCACAAAGGAGCCTTTTGTCACAAGTATGCGCTATTGCACTCACTTGTCGATTTTAAAAAGGGATCTTGCCCCAGCGACGGTGCAATGGAAACGGCTTAGCTGCCTGGTGGCATCACCAGGGCTTCTGTTGCACAGAAGGCGCGGAGTATTTGTCGGCTCAGGTGCTAGCTCAGAAGTATCAGGAACGTGTCAAGTATGTGTCTTACCACCACATTCTGGCCTATGCTTGCTTACGTGCCTACTCTAAACCAAATTATAGGGAAAAATCCTGATAATTCCTGATATATCCTGATAATGATCGGCACAATGTCCGAAACGTCCCACCATTCTCTGATTTCTGCTGAGTTGCAACCCATTGGTGCTACAAGAGAGTGAGTTTTCAGGCTCTCCGCACCGAGGATGCTATCATGTTATGTCACAGCCACGCAGGATGAGCTCTCCTTCAGCAAAACCTTGCAACACAAGTTGCTCAGGATGGGGGAGCACCGCCTGAGTCCGCCAGTGCATGATTGCGGTTCTGCTTGGTGGGAAAAAAACTCATCACCTATAGATAGTTCCTGTAATCCATGGTAAACATTGTTAAACCAAATAATATGGAAGATCAAATATCCTTGATCCATCTTGATCCACCAACCACTTGATGATGACCTGCTGTTTGGGGCTGGAAAAAATTGGGGACCAGCCGTTGCCTCCGTTCTTCAAGCCGTCAAACAGCTTGAAGGGATCAAAACCGAGGGAGTACTCCAGATTCCACCTCAAACGTCAGTTGACGTTAAAGCAGGTCGCAGGTCTCAAGATGTCTCAAGTTCCAAACGCCGTTGTTGTTGGCCGTTTTGACTGCAAAAAAATTGTGTCTCCACACTCAGAGAAGGAAAAGATGTTGTCAAAGAAGTCGTAGAGGGTGAAGTCGCCGCCAGTTCTGTCCTCACCGCAGGGCGGTAAATCTCAGCCCCACCCACCGCAATCCACGACCGCAAAACGACCTCCCCACCTGGATCCGGCCCTGCGTCACTCCAATGACACCTCGGTACACCCAGGCTTTTCTGAGCATGTTTTCTTTCTTTGAACAGAATAAACCAGAAATTCCCATGAGCATATCATATCCCTTATAGCATATCATATCCCTTAAATTCACCAAGGCGAAAGCAACATGGACCAAGCAGCCAAGGTTTTTGGGAATCCCATGGGATCCCCCAGTTTTTGTGGCAACCGAAACCAAGGCACTGGAACCGAAGGAGTAGACGATCAGGGTGACCCAAAATCTGCAGTGCTACGGCTGGGTCAGTCTGTTTTTTCAGGCTCGTAAACTTGCTGTTTCTGGACTCAAATATGGGATCCTATAGAAATCACAAGCCTCTGAGCATCTCTGAGCCGTCCACAGCGTGATCAAAATGCTGAAGTCGAAACCCTCCTCCTTGGTCTCAGTCTTCTTGGCCGGAGTGGATGTGGCTGTTCCGTCCTGCCAGCACGATTTCCCCAGGTTGATGGATATGGTCCCAGAACAAGAATGGGCCTCCTCATCAGACATAGCCATCGCCATGCGAAGGACCGCATCATCAATGTCCTGGGGAGGCTTCAATTAATCAAGATTTTTGGTATCGGTAAACTTCGAACAAGCACGCCATGGCCAAGCACTGTTGACTGAAGCAAGACTTGTTTCTGATGGTTGCTGATTTGGGTAGGATTTCAAAAACTTCCTTCCGAATTGGTCTCTTCGAAACCACTTGCGGTTTGCAATGGATCACTTGAAAAGGGATTTGAAACGCTGCTTGAATCAAACGATTTTTGATCATTTATGTACTGATTTATATTGATTTGTCATGTTTTATCATCATCGTCCCTAGCAAAATTGCCACAGGTTGATACAAATTGGGCGTATATAAAGTCTGCATGGCGACGGAGTTGCCTTGTCATCTGCGCTCTTTGGCTTTGACACTTGCTCCACTTTCTCACTGCTTGAAGGTGCTGCGCTTGCCCTGACGGGAATAGTTGAGAGGGGGAACGTTTTTTTTATTTCACCTGGTTTCTGCTTTTTTTCTGATGTTCTATGGTTCTTCTTTGAGTTGTCTGTCCATGTTTCTCCATTTCTTTTTGTTTTTGGTTTTTTGGTCCCCCGATCTACCCCATCTGTTCCGCACCAACAAGCGACCTTCGCAAGAGCTGGTTGGTAACCAGCGATCTGCCAGGACCTCATGGCTTGCCGTGGAGCGCTTGGGGGTTGGTCATAGCCAACAAAAAACAGAGTATCCACCATCAAAAGTAGAGCTTCAAATGATGAAGATCATGGGAAAAATATAGAAAAATCATCACCAAAACTAAGCAACCAGCAGATGTCATCACTAAAATGTGAAACATGTAGATTTCATCACCAAATTCATTATGGCAAAGGTGGTAAACCCAATACATACCCCACAATGGTAAAATTTGGCATTTATTGGGTATGATTCATGCTTGAAAACCAACATGGACACGGAACATGTGATAGATAGTGGATTACAATGTCCTAAACATGACTAACAGTGAGTATAATGGTTCAATACGTGATAGTTTGATAGTTGACAGTGACAAATTCGAGAAATATGACCACATATCGACCAAACAGCTATTTTCACATGTGGGATTCAAAAAAGTATGCGAAGCAGAGTCTAAGATATTGATCTATCAACAACTGGCTGCAACAAATCCCTGACCGTCAGTGTCATTGAGACAAAAAGCACCTTAAAACTTACCCTCTGGTAATTTAACATAGCTATTGAAAATCACAATTTTTAATGGGAAAATTCACTATAAATGGTGATTTTCCATAGTTATGTTAAATTACCAGAGGGTAAGTCGTTCCTACAGCCTGGTTGCCGTAAGTTCTTGGCCGTTCACAAAGCTCAGATTCCAAGATCTACAGGCGAACAAGGCTGTCAGGACCTGGGCCACGGCTATGAGTCCCACGACTGGGTGATCTTTCGCCACTGGTGCCACTGGTGCCACTGAGTCTCCAACAAGCACTGCCGTGCTGGCAAATCGGGATCGTAATCTCATGGCCATGGCGCCTCGGTGACGACTGGGTGACCCACGACTGGGTGACCCACGACTGGGTGACCCCTTCAAAAACTGGATCAGAGCAAGAGGTGTAGTGTTTCAGTTCGTGGTTTCAACATGTTTCAAGCAACTGGTCAATGCCGAGTGTTTCATGAGTTTGTGAAAAACACCGGGGTACGCTTCCAAAAGATCCAAAAGTGCTTCATCATCCCCATTCACATACATCAAGATGGCCATTTTTTGGAACGGACGCACTGAGATCCCCATTCGCCGTGCACCTGGCTGTCTTCGCATTCGCACTGGCACTTAGTGGCTGCGGTGGAGCCATGAGTCCCAGCATCCCCATGGCAGTGCCCAGCAACCAGACATGTTCCGCAACCTGGGTATCCTGATATCTATGGGATATCTCATAGATATTATAGCTATTATAGCTATTATAGATATTATAGATATTATAGAGATTATAGATATTATAGATATTATAGATATTATAGATATTATAGATATTATAGATATTATAGATATTATAGATATTATAGATATTATAGAT